AAAGACTTGGTAGATAGTGGTAATGTATTATTAGAATTTGGAAGCAAAGAAAATATGGAAATAATGGTGAGTGGAAAAAAATTAATTATTTGTGCCAATTTTAGGTAGATAGGATTTGTATTTTTTTGTATTATTGGAATTTGGAAGCAAAGAAAATATGGAAATAATGATGAATGGAGAAGAATTAATCATTTGTATTAATTTTAGGTAGATAGGATTTGTATTTTTTATATAAATTGTGTATTTATGTAAGTTTAAGTTTTTGGAAGACTTGATAGATAGTGGTAATGTGTTATTGGAATTTGGAAGCAAAGAAAATGTGGAAATAATGATGAATGGAGAAGAATTAATGATTTGTATTAATTTTAGGTAGATAGGATTTGTATTTTTTATATAAATTGTGTATTTATGTAAGTTTAAGTTTTTGGAAGACCTGATAGATAGTGGTAATGTGTTATTGGAATTTGGAAGTAAAGAAAATATGGAAATAATGATGAGTGGAGGAGAATTAATGGTTTGAGCTAATTTTAATAAAAAATATGCACAGCTTTATATATCTTATGGAAATAATAGTGAGTGGAAAATTAATGTATAATTTTGAAAGATTTTGTATTTTTGTGATGAAAAAAAAGCAGACTACTAAAATTTATACAAATTTTAAGAATTTTCATATTTTTATAGTATGGTAGAGATATACTATTATAATTTGAAGGCAAAGGTATGAGAAAGAATAATCTTCTCTCTATTTGAATTAATAAAAGACATAACATATTCAGATAATGGATTTTTGGAAATAATAGAACTATTTTTTTGCTAAAATTTAAGTGTGTAAATAGAAAATTATTTGTATAAATTTTAAAAGATTTTATATTTTTTTGATAGTGGAAATATATTAGAATTTAAAGACAAAGAGTAGAGCATGAACATTTAGACACATACTCATTTACAATGAACTTCATAATGATACTTAAAATTATTTTTCATCGAAATCTTTAGCCTTTCGACAAATTCCACAAATTTAAAAATATCCTCAAAAAAAAAATCACATACAAAAAAACACAGCAACGAAAACACAATAAAGAAAGTAGAAAGAAACAGGGTCGATGTCTTTACACGAAGGTGTGTTTCGCGTCAGTGATGTTAAATGAAGGCGCACAACGTGCACGTAGCTAATTGATTCCTGCTAGCTCGAAAATCCTCCTCCGTTAAGGCATATAATTGCTTTTTCTAATCGCGTTTTATCCGCTTTGTTTGTTCACTGAACAGAAGTGAACTATATAAATTTCCCAAGCAAAACCAAAGGCTCTGCGAATGTCCTTTCTAATCTGTGTACTGCTTTTAATCTCTTTTTTTATCCCCTCTTTTTCTCTCCTTTTTTATATCTTTTTTCCACTTGTGTTTCTCCTCCTTTTTTTTCTTTTTTTATTTTTTTTTCTTTTTTCTTTTTTTTTCCAGCTGCAACAAATCTTGAACACGTTAGAGGACGAACTGAAGGGGAATTATTACAGTTTGATCAAGATGGACAAGATAACCCAACAACAACTGATAGACGATCATTTCCTGTTCAAAGAGGGCGATCGATTTTTAGAGGCGGCCAATGCCATTAGGTTCTGGCCAGTCGGTGAGTAATGATCACGTTCACCTCTAGCTACCTGCCCCTAACTTTTTTTTTTTCCAACTGGGTACAGATCGACCTCTAAAACTGTTCGAAATTTATCGTCCCATCCATTGTCCAACTCTTGTACTTTAGAACAGCGATTTTTAATCCTTTTTATCTCACGATAAAGTAATTAAGATTGCGAATTTTTATGCAAAAAATTTAATTTTTTATAAGCGCAATTGGTGAAAACTTAAATAGAAATTGATAATTCATATTTTTTTTATAAAAATAATTTATTTTTTAATTTCTTTAAAAAAAACTTTAATTAATCATTTTAAATAAAAATTATTAACAATGTTTTGAACATTAATTATCGTAAATTCAATATTTCACAACTTTGAAACAAATCTACGTAAAATTAATAAAACATTTTAATAATTTTTTAATAAAGAAGAAGGAAGATAATCTCTGTCTAACCTATGTCAAGATCATAGCTGATTTCCTTAAATCGTATTCTTCTTTTTTTTTTAATAACTATCTTTTAAAATAACTATTTTTTTTAACTTTTTTCATCTATTCATGATACTTTATAATATAAAAATAATACATAAAATTATTCAGAATAATAATTATTTATCACGTAATTATTCTTTACGCATTAATAAATGTTGGATATCGATCTTAAATTAAAAATCGTTGTTCTAAGATCTTACGTCACTCACATAGAATATTTATAGTAATGACTAATGTGCAATGTTGAGAAACGATTCGACGATGGCCTCAGACTTCTCGAGACGCAGATTAATGAGTCTCGATGGAGTTGCAAGTTTTAATTTTATTCTGCCACACCAGCTGGCGCCCTCCGCGTGTCAGTAATTAGATCGTAAGTTGAGGTGAATTTCATTCTTCCTGGGGATATTCTCTTGGAATTGTTAAGATTTTTTTTAGTTTTCGTTGAGCTCAGTGTTATTGAGATTCTAGTGAAAAAAAGGTATGTATCTTATAAATTTACAATACAATATTACTTTTTCCATGGTATATCCTATTTTTTTGAATATTTTTAAATATTATTATAAAATAAAATAAAAATAAAGATATTTTTTTTACAATTTATTTTTATTTTAACGATTCGTTGATGATGTAAAAATTTCAAAAAAGATGTGAAACTGAAATCAACTTGATTTGATTTAGAAGTTCTAGTTAAATTATAATGAAAAATAATTTTTTATAAATAATTAAAGTGAAAAACGATAAATACTATCGATACTATTATTATACTATTAATTTTATTCTTCTGTATTATATTTCGAAATTCGTTCGAATCACATACTACGTCATTTCGAATTTATTTGTTGATTTATCGATTGACACGAGACGAGAGATCGTTGTGTGTATACCTTACGAATACGATTTACGAAACTGTGTGTAGATATTTCAAGAAACAAGTCATGAGACCACAGTATTTCGAGGAAGAAATTTTGAGGTTAACATGTTGGTTCAACTAAGAATTTATGAGAATGGAATTTCTTTGATTATATTGTTTGATTAGCACGTCGAAAATCTTTAATCTTTCCTTAATTAAATGATAAAAGAAAAAAGAAATGCATTGCTCGAATAATTTCCCTTCGTTTAATCCCATATACTTCTCTATACCGAATTAATATCGCGAGTTAATATTGATAATTTAATATCTTTGTTCTTGGTTATTAAATATTATATTCTGGAACGTGAATTTATTGTGATAATCTTACTTACGCTTTCGTACAGATTAAATATATTGTTGCAAATAAGAATTATTCGAATTACTAATAACATTTCTTTTCATAGTTTTTAAAAATTAATAAATCAACCACAATAAAAAATCAACATTTTTTTCCTTCGAAAAATTAATTCTAAAATATTTAACGAGTTAAATACATTTTGTATAAACATTAAATATAAAATTATATAAATATATATAATATATATATAATATAAATATTTTTGCTAGATTTTTAAAATGAAGTGTGTAATATATCTTTAAATACATATATTTTTTTTTTTTTTACTGATTTCGAGTCTCGAGAGATAATAGCCTGTTGTAATAGCCCGAGTGATTTTCGCGCGGGAAATTCAAACGTCGGTTCGCTCAGTTTAAGGATCACTGTGGTTGGCGCAAAACATTCAATTACAATGGCGTAAGTTCCTTCAGCTCGTTTGAAAACATTAATCCGTGGATAAAGCCAAATGCTCGAAATTGGGCTTGGTTCAAGTTTAAACGAAGATTAAGCCGAAAGTTTCGTGGATTAGGCGGGGTGTACCGAAGTGTGGTGTACCGAGTTAACAAAATGGCGAGTTGACGGGTGTCACGACAGGTCCACCTGTTTGTTGATTTTCATCATTGGTTCTCTTGCCCGTGAAATGAAAACAATTCGATGCGTTTCATTGGATTTTCAATCAATCATCCTGAGAACCGTAAAAATGAACCGTTTCCAGAGATAAATAGTGAAAGAATGAGAGATCTGATTTGAAAATAAAATAAAATAAAAAATGTATTATCATATAGCGAAATTGTATTATCTGTGAGCATGATATCGAATATATGTTGTTATGTTGAATAAAATGTCGTAATTTGTTATTCATAGATAGAAATAATAGAAGAAAATAACGAAAGATTTGAAAGTAAACAAGAATTGGAATTATATAAGCAAAATTATTATATTATAAAGAAAATTGAGGGAAAAATTAAATCTAATTAAAATGAAAAATAATGGAATTATTATCCACGATTCTGTATTTCATGTTAAAAAATATATTGTCATTTATATTCTCAGAAAGAATGAAAAAATTAAATGTAATTAAAATAAAATGAAAAATATGAAGAACGTTACATGTGATCTTGATATTTGCAAAGATGTCATAAGGAACATTTATTTGCAATAATTTTTTAAAATTATTAATATGACGAGAGATTTTAGAAATTGATTTTAAAATTCTGTTTAAACGAAATTTCTATTCAATGAATTTTGAATTCTACAGAGGAATATGGAATTTTGAGATGCATCATTATTTTTACTTCCGTTTGCGATCAATTTAAAAAATATCCAGTTTTAATAAAGTTGTGCATCGAGGGAAAATTGTTGCGAAAATGAAAATTTCTCAATAATCTTTATATTTGAGGTATATTCACGGTGCAAATTACGTACTCGCAAATTGGGATCTCCACGCAAATTTTGCATCGTTTACTTTTACGCGAATTTCGGTTTTGATAATCAAAAAAATCTTCGAGTTATTGACATACGATAAATTCAACATCGAAGCATTATTGTTAAATCATGTTTTCCTTTTTTTTCCATTTTTTCCTTCCTTTTTTTTACTTTTCTCCTTTGAATCAATTATAATAATTATCCAGAGGATAATTAATTATAATAATCGAAATAACGCGTGATAAATTTCGATATATATACATATAAATTTAATTTCTTGAAAAATTATAACTTTCTATATCCTTTATCTCTTCATTTTAAACTCAGACATCACGATTCATAGTTTAATTAAAAATTCCAATATCTCGAAATTCTCTAACAACCTTCTCACTGCCATTATCAGCTGTAATTCGAAGTTTCACAAGTTCCATGAAAATTCAAAATCGGCATAAGCTGTGCAATGGAACGTTATTATATATAAATTTCTTTTTTGCTCTTCGAGACCCCTCCAATAATGAATAAAACTGCCTTCTATAGCACTTTTACAGCAGGTGAAAAAAAAAAAAAATATATATTCAATTTTCGAAAACTAATTTCACAGAGAACTATCTTCTATTTAATTAATAATCCAAATAATTAAAGATAAATATATTTCTCCGAATATATTAAAAGAATAATCACAATTTCACAAATATTTTTTTTTTTTTAATAAAATTTAATAAAAGATCGAGGACAAAATTCTTATTGGAGAATGATCAGACGCCAAGAATCAATTCCGCAGAAAATTTATTTCTAGCTAGAAAAGAAACGTGAAAAAAAGAAATTTAAAAGCAGATTTTTAATTCTCTCCTTCCATCGCCGCTCGGTCGATAAAAAGTAATTCTTCTAGGATTCAAAGATATTCGAATCGAAAGCGATCCGGCCACCCCTTGCGGGTTGCCAGAAAGCCGACTAAGGGTCCCGTGATTAAGTGAATTTGCATTAGCGATTTTCATCGCGATGGCCTTGGCAAATCTCTTTACCGTCGAGATTAAACGGCTCAAAAGGGTTAAGGGACATTAAAGGGAGTGGGGCGCGTGTGCAAGGGGCGGAGGGGTGAATCAGCTATTCGAAAACGGGGGGTTTTCTCGTCCTCCCCTTATCGCGTGATGTATATACTTCGCCGACTTTATTTACGGTCCTTCGTAATCACGAGGTTTATTATAAACTTGTTGACGCGGTGATGCATTATTAAACGAGGTTTTTGGTAATAAAGTGTTCCAAGATGAAGTTGGTGGGTGAAAAAAAATTCTGAGATCGATTTTTTTTTTGAAAATATAACTTTTTGGGAAAATAAATCCGTAAGAATTCGTTTTTTAGTTAATGGAATGAGAATATAAATGAAGAAATAGATCAATGGACGAATGATGAGTTTGATTTTGTACTTTGTTAGATATTTTCCCAACGCTAATGAAATATTGGTTAATTTTTACTTGTTCGATTCCCCTTTCGAATCGTCGTTAATTTAAATCTAACTTCGATAAATTTGAAAAATGGAGTAATTGAAGAAGAATTTTTTTTTAAATCGTGATTACAAATTTTTATCGAAGAGATGAAAATAAAATAACGAAAGAAGCGTGGTTTTTAGAAATTTTATCGAGATTCTTCCTCTCCCTCCCCCTCCATTGGCATCCTAACTACTCGTTTTTATTTCTTTGAACCGGACTGATAACAGATCGCCTTTGCGAGTGACCACGGTTGCTCGTTATTTACGAACGTTGCAGTTTCGATCAAATTATTTCCCCCCTCCTTCCCTCCGCCCCCTTTCGAACAATGTTTCAGTCGAAGAGTCGTATTACAATTGTACACGCGTGTTTTGTTTCATATTACTAAAGATTCTTTTGATCGAAAGTTGTACGTATTGTGAAAAGCGAATAAATCGTTGCTTTTTGTTTCTAAATAAATCTCGCCTTATGAAAATATATTTCGTTATATTTCATTGTATAAATTTGCTACTGGGATCCAAGAACTTAATAATTTAATATGTGTATTGTATTTTTAGGTTAGAATATGTGTATTGTGTTTTTAGGTTAGAATATGTATATTGTATTTTTAGGTTAGTTTCGATAGACAAACGATAATTTAATTGTATTGATTATTCGAAGAATTCGTGTTTGATTCTCTTTGATAAAAGTGGAATTGACTTCCGAATAGATTGTTGTTTATATTTTTGTTGAAAGAAGTGCTCGAAAATTTTTTTTTTCCAAGAGTATATAATAGATACAGAAAGATGATTTAGATTAGAATTAGATGAGATCTCAAATGTAACAGTATTCTTTGTAGTTAAAAATGTGTAGAAATCATGTATGAAGATGAAATTTATTTTTCTCCATGGATCTATGTGTTATTTTAATATTGATATTCTTGAATTGGTTCTTAATATGAAATCAAACATTTGTATAAATGAAGAAAAAGAAGAAAATTATCGTAGAATTGAGAACGAAGAAAAAGAATAAGAGAGAAGAGGAATCACTTCTCTATTATTTTCGAATTGTAATATTGATGATATCTTATTTATTAAAATTATCTTAATCTTACAACGAGTTGAGAAATTAAACATTTTCAACATGCACGAGAGCGAAGGTTATATTTATAAAATTCGATACGCTTCATCCCCCATGACACGAGCATAAACTTATTATTTATACGAAAAATGTCACAAGTTAAATTTGGATTGTAACATCCTTGAAATTGTTACAAATTCATCGATATCAGTGTATTTACATCAAAAAGGGAGCTAATAATAATATAAATAAATATTAAAAATTTTTCTAATCTAACCTCTCAAACATCTTTTAATTTTTTGAAAATATTTGTATAAAAGAAATTTGACATTTAAAAAAAGTATTAAAAATGAAATTAAGTTTAAAATTTACTTCAAACATATTAATGTATAAATATAAAAAAAGAAAATAAATTTCAAAGTAATAATAAAACAGTAAACGAAAACGAGATAAAATAAAATTCCCTATTTCTAACCTAATCTAACCTCTCGAATATCTTAAATTTAACATCTACGATTTAATTTTTTAAAAATTAAAAAATATTTGTATAAAAGAATATTGACATTTAGAAAAATATGGAAAAATAAGGTTAAGTTTAAAATTTATTCTCAAATATGACATTAATGTAAGAATAAAACGAATAAATTTCAAGGCAGCGAAAATATAAAGAAAAAAAGATCCAAGATTTGTATCGAATTTCCATCCCCACGATTGAAACAGTGAGTGAAAACGTTAGATCCGGGATAAAAGAAAATTTCCCATTCCTCTCTGTTCCTTTGCAAACCCGAAGGGTCACGTGTGCGTGGAAAAATGGAACATTAATAATTCAATTCCACGAGTTGCCCGAGGCAAATGGAAACACAGCCGTAAACCGAACCACTTTCGATTATCTTTGAATCGACACTGGATTTACTCAGTTTTCACGGAAGAAAACGCGCTCTCGGAAGGAAATCGAGAAATGACGCAATATACGACGCATATAACCTTCGACACATCTTGGATAAGTAAACGAGGAAATGGATTTACAAACGTATTTAGAATTTTAGTTTGATAAAATATATAACTTAATTTTCGTTTATTTTCACAGGAAATAAACATTTTGAAAATAAATAAATAGAGTGGTACAATTTTATTTTCAAAATACTAGGTTAGAAAATTCTAGGTTATGTTTATTCGATATTACGAATGTTTTGATTTTTCAAGAGAAATTCTTCGTTCAATATTTATAATAACAATATTATATCAACAGACGAGAGACCCGAATTCAAAAAAAAAAAAAAAAAAAGGAAAACTGCCTCACAGCGTTTTATCTCCCTAATTTCCAGGCAGAGGTATATTTTACAACGATTCGAAAACTTTCCTCGTCTGGTGCAACGAGGAGGATCACCTGCGTCTAATATCGATGCAGAAAGGCGGAGATCTGGCAGCCGTGTACTCGAGGCTCGTTAAAGGGGCCACCGAACTCAGCAAAAAAATACCATTCTCGCGGCATCGCCGGCTGGGCTACCTAACCTTCTGCCCGACCAACCTTGGAACAACGATCAGGGCCTCTGTTCACGCCCGGTTCCCCAAATTGAACAATAATCCTGAGAGATTCCACGAAATAGCAAATATGTACAATCTTCAGGTGAGATCATTTTCCATTTCCTTTCCATTCTTTCTATTTTTTTTTTTTTTTTTTTTTGAATTCGAATCCATTTTCGAAATGGCGAAATTTCACTCGAAAATTTCAAATCAGTTTATTTTTTCTATTGATGATCGATTTGAGACTTTTTGAGATATTTTTGACTTTTATTCATCATAGTTTTCCAATCAAGTTAATCTATATTTGTCTTGCTACTTTTATTATGATTTTTCATTGATCTATTTTACTTTTCTGATATGATTTTATTTTTTTTTTTATTTTTATATTTTTATATTTTTATTTTTATAATGATTTTATTTATTTTATATGATAATTTTATATTTTTATTTTTATAATGATTTTTTTGTATCTATCTATGATTTACTTGCACTTCTTGTCGAACCAATGGCTGATGTATACTACTGTCAAGATCATAACCGTCCAATGAAGATTATCTTAATTTTCCTATCTAATTATATGTATCACAAATCATCTTCTAATATTCTTCTTTAATCGATTCTACGATGATTATTTTTCGATAAAATAATTTTCGCGTAATTTAATAAATTTCTTAATGGTTCGAAAATATTTCAACGGTTATTTGAAAAATCATAAATTCGCGCCGCGAAATCGGAAAATAAGTAAACGAGGAAATAATATCGAGATAGCGCGTAATTATCATTGTTGAACATTGTTATTCATCGTTGAAATGCTAATGAAACGCAACAAGTATCACAGGTGGATTAATGTTAATACGTTCATACGAAATATTTATATCCTTCGTATTATTGACCGAGCGCAGCAACGATGCTTATATAAATCCCAAGTGTATACAACGTAAACTATAGTTGCGAAACGAGATGCGCAAACAACCAGTTATGAATATTCCGTTTACGAGGAAAATATTTGAATAGATCTTGCTTGTTTGTAGGAAAAGGAACCTATGAAATATAAAAGCTTTGTTTTTTTCTTTTAGTTATGCGTGAACCGGTTTTATTGGAATTCCCTAGAATTCCCTAGGCGATTGTAACATGATTAAACGCGACAAAATATCTCTAGCTTTTCTTGTTAAATGCATCGCGTAGAAGAAAAGTGGCAAGAAGGAAAAAAAATTATTTTTTTCAAAGAAAAATTACAAGTTTCGTGGAAATTATGAGATCGATGACGAATTAATATCTTGTTAATCATTTCTTTTATCATTAAACATGTTTCTTAGTAGTATGCTTGGATCAGTTTTTTCCTTTAAAATTTTTTTTTCGTTTTATTTTTATTTTTCTTTTTTTAAATTGTTCATATTCGTTTAAATTGAGAGGAAAAAAAAGAGATATTCGAGATTCTCGCATAACGTTTCCTGTTCGAAAGTTGGTTTGAAAATTGTTGTTCTACCATCGATTGCTGAATTTTCACTTTCAGCTTGAAGAGTGGGGTCGACCGCAGCCAGGGAATGTATAATTAATTATTTGTTCGTTAACTGCTCGGTAAAATCTGAAATTTTCAACGTTCCTGTGATACTAATTACGATGAATTTAATTTGCTTGAATTTTCAATTTTGTTATTCTGTTACGACGAGGAAGATGTTGTGTCAAACGTTGCATTAAACGTTACAATTGATTCACACTCGTAACGGGAACAATTTTATTATAAAAATTGATTGAAAAAAAAAAAAATAAAAAGAAAATTTCAACAAGAGATTGCAAACGAATTATTATATGCATTAATTTTCAACTACTGTTTTCACTTATTTTGAAAAAATTCACGAAAATTATGAAATTATAAAAAATTAAATTTACAATGAAAATAGAATATTAATAATTAATTATGATTAATTCAAGTGTAATATTATTTTCTATTTTTATATTATTTTTGTTATTCTATGCTTTATATAATATATTCTTCTTTATTCTTAAAATTTGAAATTTAATATGCAATTGTTATTAATTAGTCATGAAAATATTCACATATAATTGAATATGAATAGATTTCTTTACCGAGTGTGTATATTTATATGTACAATTTGGAATATTTAGATTGAAACGATAATTCACACGTTAAATTTCTCATTATTTATATAATTATCATATCATTTTCAGAAAATTATTTATATAAAATATATGAAATACACGAGAGAATGAAAGATGAGTTTATCGTGATCACAAGTTTATCCATTAATAAATTATTTAAATAACACATGTATTTAAAAATACAAGAACGTTGAAAAATTTTTTCTAAAAAAAGAATTTGTATCGATTCAAACTTATCTATTCGAATCGAATAGATAATTTAAAATAAAAAAATATGGATTAGGATAATTTATAATGTATATTAATATCCTAATAAATAATAAAATTGGAATCACATGATCAAAATCTAGAGATTTACTTGAAAACTTGAAAATCTGATATATAATATAATAGAGAGTACCAAATACAGTCATACGATTAAAATCTAGAACAATTGGAATTGAATTGATGATACTTAGGTTAGAAATTTGAGAATGCAATAGAGGTTACTGAATAGAAACACACAATCAAAATCGAGAGTATGAGGATTAAATTAGATGTCCTGTAGTTTGTGAATCTAGGACAATGCAATAAAGGATATTAAATGGAATTGCATGATTAAAATCTGGGAGAATTAGAGTCAAATTTGGGTATCTAAGAATGCAATAGGGAATACTAAATAGAACCATATGATCAAAATCTAGAGGAATCAGAGTTAAATTAATGGATTTCTAGATCGTGAATCTGGGATCTATCGCAATAAAGGATACCAAATCGAATTACGCGATTAAAATCTAGGGGAATCAGGTAAGTCGAATTAGGGATCCCTAGATCAACAATCCTAGAACGCTAGTAGAAAATAATAAATAAAATCGTATGATAGAAATCTATGATTAAATTATGAATAAATTATAGGATCCCTAAAAATCTGCGACACAATACGATAGAGGATTCTAAATATAACTATGTGATCAAAATCTAAAAAAATCAGAACCGAATTAGAGATCCCTACATCGACAATCCAAGAACGGTAATAGAAAATATTAAATGATATCGTGTGATAGAAATCTATGGAAATCATGATTGAATTATCTCTAAACTAAAAATCTACGACGTAATGCAATAGAGAACCTTAAATATAAATATGTGATCAAAATCTAGGGAAATCTGGGTCGATCTTGGGGATCCCTAGAAACTTTTTACAACGCATAAGGGAGAATACTAAATAGAGTTTTAAAAATTCATTAAATTAAAGACCATGTGCACTATATATAGGATTAAACCCATCAACGATTAAATATTTAGATAAGAGGCACAAGGGGTGAACACACCGAGGGCGAGGAAGGCATATTCGACATCAGCAACAAACGTCGGCTGGGTTTGACCGAGAACGAGGTAGTTTCCGAGATGAGAATCGGGATTCTGGAGCTGATCAAAGAGGAGAAACGATTGCAAGAATCTGAATAACGCATGTCTAACCGAAGAGTGTGTAACCGAATAACAATCGGGTGAAAACTGTTTCCAATTCACCCTCTCTTATAAATCGAAATATATCTAAACCGCGTATCGATTAATACTCCACGAGTCGACAATACGTTTCCGTTACGGGCACACATCGAGGAACACGAACCGGTTTCGTAGGTAGTTATCGACAAGCTAGAGCAATACTCGAAATATCCTGCAACAGTCTCTCTCTCTCTTTTTTTCTTTTGCTATAAAAGCGAAGAAATATCGATCCTTTATTAACTTTTGATAACATTGTTGTACAATGGTTTGAAATAAAGGTTATCTTTATGAAAAAACTTGTACATTCTGTGTTTGTATCTAAAGTTAATTTAATCTTGGAATTTGATGATCATGAATAATTTTTTCTTGAATGAGAACCACTGATAATCTATCTAATGTAAATAAAAAGTTTTTGAAGTACTTGTTAATTTTTTTGATCATTATGTTTTGAGTAAACTTAGAAATGATCAATGAATAATCAAATACAAATCAAAACATATAATCCTTGCTACAATACAAAAACAAATATAAATAGAAATATAAATAGAAAAATGACTAAATTTATCTTTCAAATTTATTTTCAAAAAAAAATTTAATTTCTTAGAAAAAATCAGAATTCATATATCTTATCGATTTTTTCTCTTTTTTTATAAATAATTTCATATTTGCTCGAACAAGGATACTGTTGTAATAAAATTGTCTTCATAAGATTCGTGCGAATTTCATAGCGAATTTCAATGTATCGCAATAAGCTACGTGGAAGCCATTTCAAACACGTGGAATCAAAAGAAGCACAGTGTTTTCCAGCAGCTGGTAGAAAATACGTACTATCAGTTGCGAGAGGGTAACCCACTTGGGAGCTTATATCGACAACATTGGCTTTATGACACTCAATATTCACTTCTTCGACTTACCATATACTATATTACGTCGTCGTGGACACGGAAGACGCAACACGGACTAGGCTAGTTGCCATATTCCATATATATTCCATATTGATAATGTCCAAGTTGCACAACCTGTGATATTGCATCGAAGGATAACACGTATCAACATGCAGATCTTAAATCTGCATTAGAAAAGAACAACTCGAACGAATATCTTTGTATGTAATATTACCAAAAATCCATACATTATACATTATAACATACATTATAACAATTTTTTGAGTTTTAATAAAAGACGAGTTGAAAAATTATGTAAAATTTTAAAAAGAGAAATATGATGGATAATTTGTTGCAGAGAATGGAAAGATTCATAAAAATTGATAAATATAACATTAGATTGTAATATTTTTTATATAGATTTATATAGATTTTATATAGATTTTTATATAGATTTAATCAAAGAAAGTGGAGAGATCATTAGAAGTCTCAGAATTTCTATAATTATAGAGAATATCTATATCTAATAATTATATAGAATTTCTATATTATGTAGAAAATAAAAGTTTTTAAGAAATAATTTAGATACCAATATATTCATTTTTTATTAGAAAAAGAATTTTAATACATTTGAAAGATGAAAGTACAGATCAAAAAAGATCATTCTTCTCATCTGCAATCATCATGATAACATTCATTCTACATTGAAACAAGAGAAAAAAGAAATAGAGAAATTTAGATTGAAAGAATATTAAAAAGATTTTGAAAACTTAGAATGAGAATATTACAATGGTCCAAGGTAAATTGGAAATTCTGAAGATGTCAGAGGTGACTATGAGACAAAGTATAAGAAGTTTAGAAGTGAATATGCAAAATATCTGGAATGCCAATAGATTTTATGAGTACTAGTGATATGCATGGTTGTAGGAAATTTCAAAGATATCTGATATTCAGAAGGCATATTGATGTTTGATATCCATTGCTCTTTAGAATTTCCAAATTATCTTGAGGATTATTCCAGGATTTTAAGGATATCAGAACTATTCTAAAACTTTGTATGTAGTCAACAAATTCCTTGATGTATTCAGAGATAAAGTATTTGATTACTAATAAATATATTGCTAATAATATTTTAGAATTGAGAATATTCTTTGTTATTATTGTCAGGAATATTATTATATTAGATTAATCTAAGTTTTTTATAAATTTAAAAAAATATTTAATGTTCTTAGAAATATTTATTAGAAGTAATTACTTATCCTTAGAAATTTCATTATTATTTAAAAAATATCTTAAATCTAAATTTTATGGAAGTTTTATGTGTATTCAAAGCATTGATAATTCTCAAATATTTTCTATTATATATTGATGTCCTTCAGAGTTCAAGTTTTATTGATAGTGGGATTATCCAACATTTTTTAAAGTTTCAAGAATATTTATGGTCTTTAAAACTTTAGAAGAATATCAAGGATATCTAGTATCTTGATATTATCTCAAGAGTTGATATCAGAATTCTTGTTATTTTATAAAATAGTATATTCAAAATTTTAGATTCATCATATTAATATTATATAATTAAAAATTATTATTAATGTTTAAAGCAATTTTAAAATAGATTTTTACTAAAATAAAGTGTCTTTTCTTTTCATTCATTCCTTTTCTTTTATCCACCATTACTAGAAACCCATAACGTATGTATATCTTGAATGGGAAGTAGTATAAACCAGTACTATGTCTGACGAGTGAATGGTATAGTATTCCAGTGAAAGCAGTATCGTAACTGTTGGTTTCTAACGTCTGTTAACCTTGCTGCTGTCATTAACAGATTCTACGAAATCGTGAGTACATGCCTTGGACTCCAGAACTGTGTTCTTATCAGAAATGTTTCGTACCAGAATAGTTTCTATTCTCGTTTTGTATTCCAACGAAACGAAAACGATCTGAGAGAAAGATCAAAATTATATAGAATGAGTTGTGATTTTAAGAATAAAAAATAATAAAAGTAATAAAAAGAATCATAATATAAAGAAAAGATACACAGACAAAAATACACAGAAAAAAATAATAATGATAAGAAAAAAGAAAAAAAATATAGAGAAAATATAATGGAGATGGAAATATATGTATATTGAATGATAAATATGAAAAATGAAGAAAAGAAGAAATATTAATAAAAGAAAGAATGACAAAATGAATAATAAACAAGGAAAAATAGAAAAATAATAAAAGATCAAATAGAGAATGAGATAGAAATATGAAAGTTCTTAAATTAAATTAGAAAAAAAAAAATGGAAGAAAATGATATAACCAAGATAATATCTTTGAGAGAGTGGTAAAGATGGAGAATAAAGTTAAAGTATAAAAAGAATAGAAAGAGAGTGGTCAACAGATAAAAGAGGTAAGGGATGATGAAGATAAGAGAGAGGCATTTATGATGACAAAGATGAGCAAGAAGGATAGTAATAAAGATAGAGGACACAGTAGAAGGAAGAGAGAGGATGATTGATCATCTTATCTTTAAATCCATCTATGTCTGATTTTATTGATTTAACGATTATATAAAATAATTAATATAAAATAGTAATTGTTACTTTGTTAAATATTAAATCAATGTTTGAAATATTATATCATAAATGCTATGGAATAATTAAGAAAATATTAGATAGATATTAGATATTAGGTTATGTTAGTCAATATCGATTTTGAAGATAAATCTTATTTCTCTTTCCATTTTGGAAAATATATTCTTGAAGGTTTAACACTCTGACAAGTTTAATGTTATTTAGTGTCAAGAACTTGCTATTTCTGACACCATAAAAATATGCTATATGTGAATGTGTTTAGATATAACAATAACGTGCAGCTCCACGTTTGTGTCCTGAACCTGACAACGGAATGGTTATGAGAGTTTCCAAGATGTCATTTTTCCTGTATATAAACTATTACGTGTTACATTCTACAGCGTTTCATATTGCAAATGCTAAACTTTTCTTACCACTCGAAAATATGTGTGATACGTGTTTAGATAAACTCTTCTTCGTGTCTTAAATTTCTTGAATTCTTTAAGAAAGAAATTCTTTAAAATTCTTTAAATTCTTTCAAATTATTTAAATATTGATTTTTTTATTATTTTTTGTAATTCATATAAACAAAATTGATAAAAGATACGATTTCTTATAAACTTTTTTTTATCAAAAAGCAAAAAATCCTCTAATAATTAGACTCCAAAATATTTTTCAAAAATTATATTTCCGATATTTTTTTAATCTTTTTATTTTTTTAATCTTTTATATTTTTCACTATAATTCATCATTCTTAATTTATATTATGTACAAAATTTTTTTTATAGATTTTTCTGAATTATACGACTAATTACCTTTCTAATTTATCATCTTCAGTTTTACATTTCAATCAACCGAAATTTCTATCTTACACTAATTCGCATAGTTGGAAACAAGATTTTCCTCCCCCACGAAGTCTCTATTATCCCACCCCCGAAGTTACCTAATCAGGGTTCACGAAGCCACCACGTGAAATCTTGCACGATCTGACGTGGAATAGCTGCTCGTACGTGATCTCCAAGAGTTGGATATTCTCTCTCCTGGCCTCTCCTGGTGCCTTTCCTCACTCTTTAGCTGGGAAGAAACACGGAGGTAGGAAAACTAATTCACTTGGTAAACAATAATTCCGTAGAGATGTGCAAACATTTGACACTTTCAATTAAGACGATATAATTGCACGTGGTCGTTAACTACTTTGTATTTTGTATATCAAGCTACAGTTTAACATACTTATATTATATTAACCATTTAGGAAAAATGAATGACGTTAGTCATATCGTGCTTAATCATTCGTCTAGTTGATAAAAAGTAAAAAGTAATTTTAGAGTAAGATGAGAAAAGAGAGGAGAGAAATTCATATAAATGTGATTGTTTCAATCAATATTAATTTTTTAAATGAATAAAATATAATAAATAAATAATAATAAAATATAATATAATAAAATATAGTTTTATTAAATTTAAAAATATAAATGAGACATATCTGTAAATATTTTTAGATATTAAATAGTTAGATAAATATTCGTTGTTACGATGACTCGATGATTTAAATATCACGAAAAGATTCGAAAGAAAAACTTAAGAGGATTAAAGACAAAATAGAGTCAATACAATTCTTTGTTTGTTACCATCAAAAAAGGAATGTTTATATCAGATTACTTTCTCTTTAAAACGAAATAAAATATTAAAATATAATTTTTTATAATTAATAGTTTTAAAAGATAATTCAATTTTAAAAATTCAAATAAGACATCATATGTACATATATGTATATATTTACGCCATCTCGAATGGCGACGAGAGGCACGAAATGTCCCTAGATTCGGAAGGTCGCAAAAAAATCATTCCGAGAAAATTGTTTAATGTTACGAGAAAGAGAACAATATTACTTATCGCTTGAAATGTCGCGGAATAATTTAACGAGAACTGGCAATGTGCCCTTCTATTCGCAGAATGATCTCACCCGGTCCGCGATGTTCGTTTTAAATTGGAAGTCGGAAGCGGGTGAAGCCGATTGTCGGCCATATTAAATCATCTTGTTGTCGACTCCTCGCGATATCCAACTTTCTTCGTCGTTTCCATTTCAGAACATCTTCTGAACACCTCCTTAAAAAACCCTCTGGTTAAATTAAAAAACAAGACGATCACGACAAACGAGGCAAGAGCGAAGAAAGAAGCAATTTCCCTGCCGCGTGAAATGTTCATCGTGAAAAGTACCTTGACGCCTTTTCATTAACGACGCCATTCCGATTGGAACGCGATGTAAAAGTGTTTTCCATTACATTTCCAGCCCGTTTCCTCTTCAAATCGTGCTTAACACACACACATACAGAGAGAGAGAAAGAGAGAAAGAATAATTGTAATTTTGTATTCGAGACATAAAATTATCGATAATTATTGATCGAGTTAATGTTAGGTTTTGCAATAAGAGTGTTTAACTTTTAAATCGTGACGAGAATTTTTAATATACTTAATGGCGGTGTGACGTTTATTTGATACATATCTAAATAGAAGTGTTTAAGATCGAAGTTTTTATCTGTAAAGTGTATGAAATAAACTGGTAAATAATTCTAAGAACGATCTCTGATGTATAATGATGTATAATATATATATATGTATAATATGTTTGGTGTATAATAGCGTTGTTGTATTAATGGTTATTAGAAGTTTATAAGTTATGACAATAGATTTTAGATAATACTGCATATATTTTCATTTCTATTCTTTTGAAATACATAAAAAGATAATACAATGGAATATCAATGTTATATCTCTTAAATAAAAATTATTAACAAATATCAGATAATATAGAATTCAATTTATGAATATACAACATCTACTTTCTTAGAATAACTTAAAAGTAAAAAATAAAAGTATCAATTTATCATTTTTCTTATTATAATATATGTACAACTAACGATTATTTTAATAGAACCATCTTTGTCTATTTACACCAGCTGCACCAGAATCAAAATATCATCCAAATTTCGCTTACGCGTATAGTAAGTATTTGCTCCCATCTTGGAAAGGGCAATCTGACCAATCGAACACTATTCGACGACACGTCAGGCAACAAATATGCCACGAGGAAAAACGTGGGCCGACATCGCGACCAAACAAGAAAATAACGCAAAACGGACGTCGACACCGTTCCACTTACAGAACGTCGATTTCCTCGTTTCTTCTTCGTGAAACGAAATCCACGACACGTCCTTTTCCAGCTGTTCCCTCTACAGAGACCCTTCCTTTTCCGCCCCATAATTCTCAGCCTTGATCCTCGCTGAAATATTCATCAACCGTCTTGTCCCGATTCTCTTTTCGGTCTCTTTCAATTATCGCTCTGGATAAGTCGGGTCCGTTCCTTTTCCTCCTTTTTTTTTTTTTTTCAGTAGGCAAGTTCGTGTTGCCTCGTCACGGTCGTTTAATCGTAAGATCAAATTCTTGGAGTTGACAAAAAAAAGTAAGAGGACGGCAAATTGACCGTAAGAGTAAGAAGTCAACATGGTAGGCGATAGACGCGTTTAGTAGATCCAGGTTCCTCGTTATCGAAGTTAATGGGCCGACCCCGGTGACTATGGTATAAACAGTGGTTAACTATAATGAAAAGGTGAATAGAGATTAATAGCATCAGGGTGACACATAGTGATTGTTGGCTAGATAGGTTTTAGGAGGGAACAAAGTGGATCTTTATTATAATAGGATGATCAAAAAATTAAAGCTCTCTGGTCAATAATTTATTAGGGAGAATTTAGTCTTTTGTGATTCAATGTATTCTAAAAAAAAGGAAAAAGAGAGATGGACAATATCAGGCTTCGTGACTCGAGCATCTGAACTTCGGGTCAAATCGGAAGTATTCGGTTAAATGTTGATAGTTCGTATTACTAGGGATTTGACTCGGCAGTAAACAGTCTGACGTCGAATCGTCTCGATAATAATTAGATGCGATCGGTTAGAAAAAGTGAATATAGTTGTTAAACCGATTTTAACCGATTATTGCCGTGAATATTATTATTGTATTTTTAACATTTAATAAACAAAATAACAAGATTCAGAATTGTCTATATTGCTTATTCAAATATTAATTGTGATCTAAATAAAATATTTGGTATTTTATTTTACTTTTTGAATGTATTTGCATATGTAATAACAAAGAAACATCTTCCAATTGATATATCTTCCTTCAAATTTAAACATCTTCCTTCCTTTAAACATATCAAGTCAATTACTTTTTAAATGAATAATAATCTAGCTCTAATAAGATTAGTTTAGTTGTGTGATTCTTTACTTCATAGATTTGTCTTCTATATTATTTATTATATTTCATGAATGAAATATCTATTTGCTCGATTTTTATCTCCTATTATATAATTAGAATCAATTAAGAAAACGATTTACCTGGTGAATATAGGTCTATTAATAGCACATCAGACAACGATGATAAGTGGACGATCACGTCAATAGGCGTATCAGAAATAATAATACTAGTTGAATAAGATAAACTGTAGATTTCAAAAATTTGTTGCTCGTTGTTCCATTGTTCTTTTTACCTCGCTTCTCTTGAACTTTACGCTGCTTTTGTGTATGCCATCCCTGAAACTTTTCTGAAAGATTCAATCAATTTTAAAAAAATTTTTTTTTTATATGCTTCTCTCTTTCTCTGTCCCTTTTTTTTATTAATGAAAATATTTTGTAGAATACGATCATATACATAACGTATACTGCACATTATCTTCATGATATTTTAAGAATAAATTTTTTCCTGATATGAAAGAAAATAATATACTAATATTTGATTATTTATAATCAATTTATAATAATAATTTAATTTAATAAATTTTATAATTATATAGACATATACAAAAATATCGTATTTTTAAAATTAAAAATAGATTTAGGTTATGTTTTAAATAGCAATGAAAATTTGCAATATGACGCAGTAAAATTTCATACACGGTCATATTTTTAACCAATGTTATTAACGAATAATAAATCATTGAAAAATAGCATACTTTTTTTAAATAACAATTTTATTACTATTTTTCTGAATTCTTTTAATCAAAATCTTTATATAAGAATATCATAAATTCGAAATAGTTTTAATTCTTCATTATGAAATATCCAACCAGTCTATTTTTCTTTTTTTTTTTTTTTAATTAATTGAATTTAAATATATCAAAATATTAGTATAGAATTATAGAAAAAAAAAATAACATCATTCCATGTAAATTTTGCAAACAAAATCATATATTGTCATACGTGTGCGTTCTCTGAAAGAAATTTTCGATTGGTACTCGTTGTTTTGGTATACAAAACGAGTCACGCGATATGTCGGTTTTCTTGTTTGCTTTTTGAAAGTATGGAAGAGGGAAAATGTCGAGTCGTGGGGAAACAGCCGAGCTGTGTAAGATTTATTTGCTTACGACGTAATGTTACTACGAAGATTGATGTTTGATGCTTACGATGGATGCACAAAATATTTGTACATAGTTTTTTTTTATTTTTATATTTATTTTTATATTTAACTATTCTTTTTTTTCATTTTATTCCATAATTATATTATAGAAAATAATATCTTTTCCTTTTTTAATAAAATAAAAAATAAAATCTTTTATTATATTTCTTTTATACGATTATTTTCAATTTTAAAAAATTCTATAAAATCCTCACAACGATCTTTTATTATCACTTATTTTATATTCTATTCTCAATCTTCTTTTTATAAAAAAAAAATGTCAAAAAGAAATATGCAATGTAAAGTTACATAATATGGAAAAATTACAAATACATCTTTCTTAGAGTATCATTACACTTAAAAAGTAATAATCATAACAAGACAAACCTCGTTACACTCATTTTACAATTGAAATTGCGTGACTCGGCTCTGTGCAGTAATATTTTTTCGCTCTCATTTTCTTTTCTTTACTCTTTCATCACGATTCCAGTCAATGAAATAATATACATAACGAAGAAAAAAATTAATATGTTTCAATGGAAGGATCGTGATATGATATATTCGTGATCCACGTGATTTGAGTCCATAATCGTTGCGAAAATTACGTGGTCCCATCCGATTATGTATTCTACGGAAGAAAATCGTAAAGATCAAGCTAGAGGAAATGGTAGTAAAGTTCTCTGCGCGAGACAAAATTAATCCATTCGTCATTTCGATTTCTTATTTCAATTTTCAAACAGTACGCGTTATCCTATGACAGACCAAAGAATTATGTTAACCGTGAAAACGACAATTTGATAACATCTATTCAAGTTTCCACGTAAATGAATCAATATATCCCGATATTAATTAAACTTTGACTTTCCACCATTTTGCCTGAATGATGAATCGTAATCCGTAATTATTTTCAATGGTTAGAGACGAAGAACCGCTATATATATGTTTTCTGTTTAATTGGATTATGTGCAAGAGTTTTAAATGCATGTAATTTTAATGGATATTGTTTTTTTTTT